ACAAAACTATAAAATTACCAATACAAAATAAGAAACACTTGTTATAGCTTAGTTCAGCCTGTAAAGTCCAGAGCTTCCCCGTACTAGCCACGACATTAGTTTTGATTTTGATTTTATGTGGTACAACACTTATGATATCAAGAGGGGGTAGCGACCCAACCGGCATATAATTATCGTGCCACGTCGTCAAGGCTTCCAGTTTTTGGTACAATCGTTTCGCGGTGCTTTCGACTTTGCCAACGGGACGTGACGTATACAATTAAAACACAATCCTGTCAATAACGATTTAGTGTTTTTATATTGCTAGTATTCTCTCTCGTCCTCAAAAGATAATGTGTCGTTGTTGACCAGATCAATGATGACTAATATGTAAGTAAAAGCTGCTGGTACCGCGAGCGCCAGAATCCAACGGGGCTGCCGATACCCGTTTCGGTCACACCCAGTGTACACCACCTTCCCTTACTGCATATAAAAGAGTCTTTGTTGGCTTCTTTATCTGCTGCAGCTACACCAGGCCGGCGTAACCTTCTGCTCGTGCTCCCTCGCGGCTACACGGCTAATCTTCAACTGAGACTATTCCTAGTTCCTATATATGCACTGCTACTGGTCTTCTCCGTCGCCTCTGAACCGCACGCTGGTCACCCATAGACGCTTCCAGCGACCTTTCAGGCTCGCGATCTTCCTTCAAGGGTCACAGCACTGGATATGGGTCGCATACCCGGCCCACCTCCAAACCACGGTATGGTCGCCACTTGGTCTTCGTCATCTGCACTTGGTCTCTGTGTCTCCTTCTGTTGGTCTCCGATGTTGTCCTCCTGCTGGTCCTCCCTGTCGTTCTCTGGCTGATAGTCTTCACCGTTGAGCATCGGCCGTTGCCAAGAACCCCAAGCAAAAATCGTTGTGCTTACTGCCGAAATATTAGTTGTGCATGGATCAGTGTCCAGCTGACAACAAATCTGTGTAATAACGCTTCACGAGTTACCCTTTTACAGAAGTACTACAAAGGGAAAGAAATTTAGCTCATTTGCTGATTCATTGGCAGCCCAGGAACACTCCCACGGCTAAACTTACCTATGAATATGCTTGCCTCATGCGGGCTCATGAACAGCTAACGGACGAAGCGCGTCTAGCCATCAATTCGGCGGATTTCGGGAAGCGAGAGGTTCCCTTTAACGACGAAAACTTCGAAATTTCACTCGTAGATTATTACTCCTTATGAGGATCCACCCAGCCCTATTCCCACCAGATCGATCGCTTTTTTTAAAAAAAAAAAATAGAGGCGCTCGCTTTGGTCTGGAAGGCAGAGATGCGGGATAATACTTGGTGTCGCAACTTGTACAGCACATTCTTACGAATCATTGATGGCTTGCCTTCTTGATACTATACATGTCAAGTCAATAAGAGCTGAAAGGGCGCAAAATTCGCCCTTTTAGGTATTGGTAAAGACGGGGATGGTGGGCAAATCAAGCTTGATGCAGTATGATGTGGTGTCTTTTGCCCTAAAAAGGCGCAAAATTCGCCCTTTTAGGTAGCATTCTGATTGACTAATAAGTGAACACTCAGACAACTCGAGGTCGATTGGACCATCTTCAATTATGATTGGTCAAAAAACAATCGGTACAGCGTACCACCGCTGAAATATAACGACGAAACTTACGAAGACATTCGCGCCACTGACGATTTTCTGGATGATGACTTGCCCAAGGATGATGCCCACACTGATGCAGCTTCCGAAGTTCGCGCCATTTTGTAATATTGTGGTGTTGACCGGCGAGATCATGCCGCTGGTTTCCCGCGATAACATGTATGCTGCTATACGTTTGTGGATGCTTTTGAAGATGCTGTTCAAAGAGTCACCTTTGGTTTTGAAGCTATAGGTGCTCAAGGTTCCGATTTGAGCGTGTAGAACACTAGGTTGCAAATATGTCCATTCCAGTATGGCCGGCGATGGTGTAACCACAACGCAGTGCAGTGATGCATAAATCTTATGCTTTGTATTTGAATGTGGCATTTTGTATACTAGAATTGCCGCGCAAACTTGGCGCCCAAATTATGGAGGCTACTCCAAAATTTATTGTTTCTTTGTTTGAATGTATATAAAAAACAAGTCGTGATGGAATATATGTTCTTATGTACCCTTATACTCTCCACGAATAGGCGACGCGTACCAGCCGTCCATCGGTCGTCACCCTCATTTGTAAAACAAGCAAAAAAATGTCGGGAGTGCCGCGTGGCCAGAAGCGCAAGCATGAAGGCACGAATACGGCAAGGAAGCGGCGACGCGTGCGTACTGGCAGCGAGGAGGCACCTGCAGAGACAGCGAGCAGCCTCGGGGGCGTTGCTGTGTTCAACAGCGAGTGGCGAGCGTTGGCAAAGGCCGGGTGGACGTCCAAGCAGCCTTCTACCAAGTCTTTGGACACACGCTACAAATAAATTCGGCCTGGAAGGCGACACAGGGGGCCGACCATCTACTTGAAGCAATGGCGGTCCTAAGGTACATTGCGAAGACGCGCCTCGAAGTCGGTGCTGAAGAAGGTATTAAGGCGGAGGCCCGACTGAGGGGTACTGGAGACGACGTGGACTAATTGGTTTTTTTTGGTTTTGATATAGGCACCAACGCAGCCAACGTCAATGAGAGAGGGGGTGCGGCGATCTTGAAGGAGGTGCAGCTCCCGGCGAAGCGGCAGAGGTTGGCCGTCCCGGTGCCGTGGGTGCTGATGTTCCGGCAGCCGGCGCCGGTGCCGCGCGCGGAGCGAGAGGAGGACGTGGGTCCTGCGGAGTTCGTGGAACCCGAGGAGGCCGTGGAGCCCGAGGAGGGCGCGGAGCTAGAGAGGGCGTGGTGTCCCACGATCGACGAACGCTGCTAGCACTGAAGGTGGCGGCAGTGCCGTTGGTGCTGTCGACTTAGCAGTCAGAGCCGGGCGTGTAACACTAGTAGTACGAGAAGGACGTGGCTCCCGAGGAGGCATGGAGGTCGAGGAGCTCGTGGAGTCCGGCGAGTCGCTAGTGGCCGAATATCGGAAGGTGTGTTTATGAGTTTGGTATTGTTTTTAACCACAACGTAACAATGTGTTTGTTGGTACTGCAGACGCATGTGGCCGTGATGTTGGTGAAACAACGGTGCACGCAGGCGGTAGTGGTCGCGAGATTCAAGGTCAAAGAGTTGCAGGCTCAGAATCACCACAACCAGGGCGCGCAGCACCAACTGAGCAAGCAACTCCTACACGTATGCCTCCCATCATGCTGCAGGATGTCTACGTGGGCAAACTAGTTGCGTTTTCGCCCGAAAAAGATCGATGGGTGAAAGCAAAGGTCTACAGACCAATTGGCACGGCGTACATTATTGGTCGTGTGTATCGCCTAGTCAAGAAAGGGAAGAACGCTTCGCTGTTCCAGATTCGATGGCTAGACAGTCAGTTCCAGAGTGCTGTGGAGCATATCAGCGTTTGGATGGTGCAGTTTGGCATCAAAAATTACATTGTGCTTACACGAGTAAAGAACCCGGATTGGAGAATCCTGGTACGTCCTGATCCCACCGATGAGATCGACTTTGAGGAAAATGATTTAGATTGCAAAGATGAAGAAGTACTTGAAGCTTTCGATCCGACTGAGTTACTTCCAACCAGCCTCGCTGAAGTTGAAGCAATCAGAAGCATGCACTTTGTTGCGTCTGGGGAAGTTCAGATGCCTTCGTATCTCTACAAGCACAGTGATGGATCGACACGAAGCTACTTGCGTCCTCAGTTTAAACATTTGTTTGAACATTCTGACAGTTCCAGCTTCTTTGCCACATACCGCTCTACTTTTGGCGTCAAGTGTTGCATGAAACTAACAAGTACGCCGTGGTGAACGGCATTGGGCTGGAGAGCCAGTTCACTATCGACGAGCTCATGATTTTCCTGGGCATTCTATTCTTCATGGCAACGAACGAAAAAGGCGAGTACGCAAATTACTGGGGTTTACAAGCGGAGGATCTAATTTTTGGTGGTGTTACAACTTCGCTTGATGACATCATGACGCTGCATCGCTTCAAGCTACTGCGGCGATGTCTAAGCTTCAATGCGGTCCCAAACACACTAGATCAAGATGCTGCAGCTCGCATCCGACCTCTTCTGAACCTGCTAAAGATCACTGGTGGCCAGTATATTCACGTTGGTCGAGATGTTGCGCTTGATGAAGCAAGTGTTGCGTGCCGTTCGCGTCAAGGCCGCCACATGATCGTGTATAATCCCATGAAGCTTACTGGGAAATATCATTTCCGGCTGTACATGGTGTGCTGCTCTACTACGTGTGTCGCGCTGAATTACAAACTTCACTGCAACCGAAGTCACATCTTGGACAGACTGAATGGTGTAGTTGGCCAAGTTGAAGCGCAAAACCTGCGAGAGGAGCTGGAGGAAGTATCTAAAATCAGACAGCATGTGTTGGAGGTAACAAGACCGTTATTCGGATCAAATAGGGTTGTCAACATGGACAACTATTATACGTCCGTGCAGCTTCTCCAGGGGCTCCGACTGAAAGGCCTCTATGGTCGCGGCACTATCCGTGCCAACAGCAAGCATTTCCCAGGCCACACTATTCTTCACAAAGACGACTCTACCCGAGGGGACTATCGCCAAGCTGTCTCGCACGATCACAGCATGCTTGCGGCGTCATGGTGCGACGGTAACGTGGTCAACCTTGTGTCCAATGCGGACTCAACGAACATTACAACTATCACTCGCATGGTTGGTAACGAGAAGCAGGCGTTTCCTGCTCCAGAGTGCGTCGCTCAGTATAATACCAACATGCAAGGTGTTGATCGCCTTGATCAAATACGCGGGCGATTCTCTACTGCAGATGGTCACTCGTACAAACGCTGGAACAAGAAGTTGGCGCTCGCGCTCATCGATGTGGCGCGCTCCAACGCGTATCTTACGCGACATTTGGTACAGGCGGAGCCAGTAACGCGTGATCCTCATAGAAAGTTTGTGATGGAGCTAGTTGGTGAACTTCTCAATGGACAATGGAAGAATGCACCCAGCGACGGTCGCATGCTGTACAGCGGAGAATTGGGTGACGAAGGAGAAGGAGGCCAACTCAACACGCCCTCTTCCCAGCCCTCTCCTAGTGTAGTTGCTGTGCCCCCGACAACTACTTGCAGTTCCGTGGCTTCGAGGCAAATTCATGCCGAGAAGAGCAGAAAGCGGCGCCGCTGTATTGTTTGCCGATGGGAGGGACGATATCCTACCGAGGTAATCAACTATTGCCTCACGCATGGTGTCGGTTTGTGCCGAGTTGTGCACGACCTCCCCGCTAAGCCATGGATGTGTCCGTCGACGACATCAACATGCTGGGATAAGTTCCATCAACTCTACTACCCTAACGCATTGTTTACGGAAAGGGAAAATGTCAGGCGACACTCCAAGCTCGCCAAGTTGAAGGATGCGCGCGAACCCAGGTCTCAAGCAGTAAGGCGGCCTGCTACCGCTCGCCAAATTGCGTACGGGCAGATCTCGGAGGTGCCAACGATCACGCACTTGACAACGAAGGAAATGATGATAAACAGGGTCTTGCTGCTTTCGGGGTTGGCGGTAATGCTCCGCCTAGGTTGGTTGCGCTTGGCAGTGGCAATCTTTCGACTGGGTTAGTTGCGCCTGGACCAGACGGCGACAACCGTTTGGACAATAGGCCTGAAAGTGTGGTAGCTAGCAAACTTAGTGGTGTCTGTCATGATGTTCGCGAAATTGGATGCACTAGTGAACGTCGTGGTGAAGCCCGCCTACGTGGCCGTGGTGCCGTTCTCACAGACGGTGACGACACACACGGACTTGATGGTGGCGGCGGCGCTCGCAGACTTGCCAACGACGACGAGCGCGGACTTGGCCGTGACGACGCACGCAGACTTGGAGACGGGGGGATCGGACTTGGTGGTGCCGCTGCCGCAGTCGGTGTCGGCGGCGCACGCAGCCTTGGTGGCCCTCGCGGAGTCGGTGACAGTCGGGCTCTAAGTGGTGCTGCTTGCACAGATAGCGAAGATGGGCACGAGCTTGGTGATGCAGCTGGACCTGGTGGTGCAACACATACAGTTGGTAGCCGCAGCACTCGCCAACTTGTCAGCGACGACGCGCGAGGACATGGAGGTAGTGACGATCACAGACTTGGTGAGGGCAGCCGCGGACTTGGTGGTGCGGCTGGCACAGTCAGTGACGGCGACGCTCATGAACCCGGCAGTGTTCACGGAATCACCGGTGACTCGCATGTAGTGCTGTCGACGTTCGCATTTTTTACGTCAATTTTGACGTTCTTTTTTTGGGAGTGATAAGAGTGAAAACAACTTCACTCTATACTTTGTCCGCAAACTTTAGTAGCAGCCAATCACATGAGAAATGCTGCCACAGGGTTGTTCCACCAATATTTTTGACACAAGGTGTTGTGAGTTACAAAATTTGCTTGGATCCACCCAGGTTATCTTTAAAAGCGGTATAGATGATCGAAAACAGTGAGGCAACAACAAAATGCGGTTTCACTTCGCAACTTGCAGTCTTTCAAACAGCCAACAGAACAGCCAATGCAAAGTCAAGAAGACGTGAAGGTGGTGGGTCTTGTTACGACCTCTACCGTGGTGCGATCACGTTGTCCACTACGTCTCTGACCAATTCAACCACCCCTGACGAAGCCCCACCAGGAATGCGGACCTTCAAAATGAGAAAACAGAAGCGGAAGGAAAGGTGGCAATTTATCGTGTGCGTGGCAGACCCTAAATATGCCGACATCTCGGACGATATTTGGACGTCCATGAATGCCGAGAGCTTCATGAGCCTTACACTACTCTACTTGGATGCAAACTTCACCTTAAATGGATGGACGCTTGAGGTCACAGGCCTACCAGGAAAACATGACAGTGTCTGCATTGCCAGAACTCTTTCGTCATGATTTGAGAAGTGGGGCCTTAGTCGCGACAACTGCAATTGTTTTCTGAGAGATGGTGGCAAAAATATCAAGAAAGCGTGTGACGACTTGGAATTTCAAAACTTGGCTTGTGCTGCTCACTCTCTTCACCTAGTTGTTGGGGCAGTAACCACGTGCAAGGTGAGCGAGCTTGTGGGCGAGCACTGGATGAGATTTGGCAACGATCCAACTACCCAGGAGGTTGAATTGGATCAAGAAAGCGGCGTGGAAGTGGTGGTTTCGGATGGATATATCGATGCAATTTGCGACGAAGTCTTGGAGTTCGTCAACACGACATTTGATTTTCAAAGTGTACGACTCGAAGACTTGGAAGATGTTCGTAAAACACTGCAGCGCTTTCGAAAGCTCGCTGTGTACTTCCACCGTTCTCAAAAGGGTGCAAACAGATTAAAGAATCTCCAATCTGTTCATGAAACGCGGTTAAAAGTGCTCACTGACAGCCCAACACGATGGGGGAGTACGATGCTGATGTTGCAATGCCTTATCGAGCTTCGATCAACACTGGACGATTTTTTTGCGTACCTGAGTGAGTCATTGGGCGCTGAAGAGTTCAGTGATACTCGGTCGAGACTACACCGGCCAACGTCAGAAGAATGGTTTACGATACAGTGCCTTGTGGAGTTACTAGGCCCGTTCAGTGCGACAACTGAAGAGCTTGGTGGGGACAAATATCCTACTCTTGTGCACCTACTACCTGGTATTCGGTCACTACAATCTATTCTATCAGAGACAGACATCTTTGATTCGCTTGCAGCAAAGTTGAAGGGGAACCGTTCACGGATAAAGTGCTTGTAATGATGGAGTCTGTGCGTAGAAGCTTCATCATTCTGCTACAAAAAAGGATTGGGGACTTGGACGGTGAGCATTCTTGGATTCCACTGCTGGATCCACGATTCACAAACTCCGAACTATTCACCCATGCGAGATGGACAGAGCATCTGAACGCTTTATTGACAATATGGTGACTACTGCCAGTGCTGCTTTTGTCATGATGAACAGTCCAAGTAGCCCCCTCCAGCAGCGACACCAGACCGCCCCACTCCAAAGAAAAAACAAAGAGTCAAGTATCGACGACGGCTTTATGGAAGTCGGGCGACTGCTAGGACAGAAACAACAGCTGAGGATACGGGAATGGCTCTACTGGAAAAGTGCAAGTGGGAATTCAAAAAATACCTTCGAGACTCGGCTGTTGTCCACGACGACATGGATTCACTGCAGTGGTGGAGCGAAAACAAAGCAAACTTCCCACGTATCGCTCCCTTAGCACGCAAGTGGTTGGGGTGCATTGCAACCTCCGTTCCATCTGAAAGAGCATTTTCAACCGCAGGAAACACTGTATCCAAGCGTTGTAGCTCTCTAAACCCGACTACTGTCCGCGACATCGTCTTCATAGCTGACAACAACATTGTTCTGTAGATCGCTTTGATCGTGTAGGTAGTCAATCGCGCAGAACTACGTAGTACATGTTTTCATTCTTACGTAAGAAATTATACTGGAATTGCATGTCAAAACCTGTACATGAATGAATTTTGCTGCGATAAATATCGGGATCTGCCATACTGCACATCAATAGTTAAATGCTGACGTCAAGTATTCGTTTACTCTTTTGACGTCAACTACAAAGTTCAGATTTTAACGACAACGTCGACAGCACTACTCGCATGACGAATGGACTACTCTTACACTCGGGCGTGATGATACTGCACCCAGCCGGGTTGCTGCTGCCGCACGCAGATTGGGTTGCGAAGCTGCATTCGCTCTTGGTGGCGGCACTCATGAGCAGCGCGAAGACTCGGATTAGAAACAAGTATGAGATAGCTGAACGGATCAAAGTTTCTTACGGTATATGTAAATGGGATGAGGTGTAGCCTTAGAATATGGCATCAACTGCTTCGGCAGCTTGTTCCTGGTTTAGTTTAGGCGAGATGTGAAAGCGTACAGCAGCACCTTTACCATCAACGCTAGCACCACCACAACGTCGTACTCCACCATGAGAATCATCTTGTATGGTGGGGCAAGGCACGCCGTCTGCTTTCGCCACTGCACCTATGCACGAAGCTGCAACGCATTCGACACACGTAAGCAACTCAATCTCGCTTCCACACTCAGCCGCGTGACGTACCTGAGCTGCTTGCAGCTGCATCCAACTTCGAACTTAACCGTCCTCCCCGCGGCTTATACAGACACCCCTCGCGCGCTTCTCGGGAACCACAGTTATCTGCGTCTGCTGCACGACCAAAGTAAACGTTAGCACCTGCACCGCAGTAACAAGCGCTGTTGTCGACAGCGTACCTGCTGCTCTTGGAGCTCGTGGGGCTGTCCGGCCTCCGTCACTTTCCCTGACATACTGTCCGCGCTGTCCTACCGCACCTCCGCCATCTTTTGGCCTCTGCGAATCACAGAATTGTGGAAAGGGGAGCCCAGGCGCGCAAAGAAGGCGTTGCAAAGTTGCCCCACTAAAAAAAACAAGGTGGAAAATTGCGTAACGACTTTCCATAAGTTCGCTTTAGGCTGGCAAGCCGGAGACGAAGCTGTCGTGCAGCGCGCGTGGTCTTCATCCGCCGGGCCACATACTCCCAGGTGATACGTAGGCCCTCTCTCTCGAACTGAAAAGCGACCTGAACCAGGAGTTTGTCTTCAGCGTCTGAAAAGCTTGTGCGCATGTATGTAGAATTTACTATGGAGAAAATGGATAGTCAGACAAGTGCATTTATCTAACTTTTTGTATGGTAGCGTGACTGGCTGCTGGGCGCTCGTAGAGACCCACACTGTTTATGCCACGTCCACAGCCGCGTGACAGCGCATGATTGCGGCAGACAAGGCAATAAAATACTACTCAAAGGAGCTGACAACCAAAATTACCCCCAGCCCCTTTGCGTACGCTGCATTGATTGGTAGTTATAAGATAGGGTAGGAAAAAGCTAAAAGGGCGAAAAAAATCGCCCTTTTACAAGGGGGTTTCTCACCGTGTTTTGAAAACAGTGTTGAAGGGCGAAACATGCGCCCTCACACCGCGAAAGGGTTAAGCCTATCTCATTCCTCGCTCGAAATAACTTCGATAATCCGTAGCGAGAATATTCGACCAACCATACATTTTTTATATACATCCTAACTTACCCGAAGTTAGCTTTCTTGCAGCGATGCAAAGTACTTGACTGTAAAAACCTTAAAAATGGGAAACCAGCCTTTGTTTCACCGGAGAGCCTAGACCATACTTATAGTTGAGAAAAAAAAATGAGTGATTATGCAGACGTTGATTATGAAGATGACTGTTTATGGTGGATGAATTGGTCTCATGGAGCAGGAAGTCAATCGGTAATTTGCGCCATAACCCAAAAGACCAGAAACAAAAATCAACAAGGCCATGCCGTCCGGACCCGACAACTTCTACGTCAGTGGCAGCGTCACAGTCAAGCCAATCACCTTCCAGAACCAGTTCCGGATGAAGATCGCGGCCAACCTGTACACGCCCAACAACCTCGACCCCACTTCTAATACTCCGGCCATTATTGTCGGTCACCCCATGGGCGCTGTGAAGGAACAGAGCGCAAGCCTCTACGCCACCAAGATGGCAGAACAAGGCTTCGTCGCCGTTTCCATCGATCTTTCCTTTTGGGGTGGCAGCGAAGGTGAGCCACGCAACGCTGTTCTACCTGAAATGTATGCAGAGACCTTCAGTGCCGCTGTCGATTACCTTGTCCTACAAAAGTTTGTTGATCGCGAGCGGGTCGGTGCCATCGGCATCTGTGGTAGCGGCTCCTTCGCAATCAGCGCCGCTAAAATCGACTTCCGCATCAAAGCCATCGCGACTGTGAGCATGTTCGACATGGGTGGCGCGGCGAGAAAGTTTCAGACAGCTGCGGAGCGCAAAATCACCATTGCTGAAGCATCACAGCAGCGCTGGGTTGAGGCTGCTGGCGGTGAGATCCGCTACACGGGCGGCACTGTCCACGAGCTCACGGCCGATACGCATCCCATTCAGCGCGAGTTTTATGACTTCTACCGCACCCCGCGTGGTGAGTTTACACCAGACGGTTCGTCGCCGAACCTCACTACCCACCCGACGTTTTCGAGTAATGTGAGATTTTTGAACTTCTACCCGTTCAACGACATCGAGACTATCTCCCCGCGTCCACTCCTCTTCATATCTGGTGACCAGGCGCTTTCACGCGAGTTCAGTGAGGATGCGTACGCGCGTGCGGCTGAGCCAAAGGAGTTGCTGTGGGTGGAAGGCGCTGGTCATGTTGATCTCTACGATCGCACCGATCTCATCCCATTCAACAAGATTACTCTCTTTTTCAAGAAAAGTTTTAGCATGGAGTAAAACGAAAAAGGAGAGGTGAGTGCAATACAATCGATAGTATTGTAAACTGCTCAATAAATTGCACTGTTGAAACTCGCCTTCCAATTGATTAGGAGTCCAGATTTAATGCTATTTGATGATTTTGCGCCATAAGTTTAAGTTCAAAACAAAAATTCGAAAGGGGGCTTATCCAGCAAACAGCTGCGGGAATATTCGCAGTCAACTGACATGTGAATTTAATTTGGAGTTAATTTTTGATATCTTGAGTATCTCCAGATTGATTCCAAAGCACGATGGATGCTGTCGATGATGTGCCTACCCAAGGCGCCACCATTTCATCCTTATTACACGAAATTAGTGGGTGAATTTGAGTTTGGACTTTCCGAGACGGTGGGGAGATATGATTCTTTCCAAGCGAGCTGTGCTTAAGTTGCTGATGTCGTCTTTTTGTTGGGCTTTTCTGGACTGTTTGACTAATAAAATTGAATTGGTTGGTCGCCATTGCGAGAAGTTGGGGGCTCAGCGGTGCTTGTGGATGTGAATACACTGTATTGGGCTTCAGCCACTCCGTATTACCAGCATCCACAGCTGCAGCCACATGCGCAAAAACACGTCGTTTCTGCTTAATCGATGAGGGGCTTTGACTCGAATGAGGGGGACTCGTAATTGGAGGCAGCTCAACACCAAGTTGACGCTCTAACGTTTGCTTAACGGGGCTTGTAACGTTAGAGTTTGAAGTATTAGGGTAGACCGCTGCAATCCGTACTTGATAGAGTCGAAGCTTCTCTAATAGAAATAGCAGAACTTCATGGGCATCTTCCGATGATAATTCATCTAACGCTGGTCGAGATGTGAGTACTCGACGTCCAAACATTTCCATTGTTGTCGTACTCGGAGCGAGTTGAATTAACTCTTCAACACGTTTACTCGCTGCACCGAATAGCGAGGGATTGATCTCATTTAGTGTGCTTTCAGAACGTCCGTAACTTCTTCGACGTGCTTCAGTAGCTTCGTCCAGTGAACGATAAAGGAACTGAATCACCTCATCCTGTTGCGCCAATATAAACTGCCGTTCGCGTTGAAAGACTCGAAGCCACTCCATGGCTCTCTGCAACTGAGTCTCGATCTCGAGTCGCTTCTCTTTCTCTTCACTTGATACGCTTGAATTTTCCGGTAGGGTAATAGTTACTTTCGCTTTCTCTTCTTCAAAGATATCTTCTTTAATAGCCGTCAGACTGCCGATCTGTAACTGGACTGCGTTGTTAGCGTCTGCTGTTTTATCCTGCTGTAACTTTGCAAGGATTTTCTGGTAGTAGCGGTTCTTCTTCGCCATCAGATGTTCATTTTCCTCCAGTATTTTGTTCTGAGCTCGTAGCTTCGCCACTTCCTGTTGAGCTTCATCCAGCCGCTCAAGAAGCTTCTCAGTCTCTCGACTCTGGAACGCTAACTCGTGGGTGAAATGTTCGTTCTCAAGCAACGTGCGATGCGTCGTTGACGCCACCTGGTCATTCGTACGCAGCATCAACTCCGCCTTAGCAGCCTGCATCCGCCCAAGAAGCTCCTGTTTACTACGAGCTTGTTCCAGTAGATTATGACGCTCTAGATCCTGCATTTGAGTTTGGAACGCTGCGCGCTGGGCATCCAGCTTTGTCTCTAACGCACGAGTATGAGCCTCCAGTTCACGTTTGGCTTGTGCAAAGGCGTGTACTTGTCGTAGCTCTTCCTTGACAATCGCCACCTCCTGTTGAGCTTTACTGAGCTCGGACGCGCGCTCTTGTTGCTCGTTTTCTAGTATTTCTCGTGACGTTTCCAGTAGCTTCTCCTTCTCTTCTTGAGCGTCAGCTAACGCCTGCTCGAGTTCAGCTATTCGAGCTACGTGCTCGTCCGTCTTGTCATGGAAATAATGGAACATCTCGCTCTGCTCGCGCGTCTGCTTGGCCAACGTCTGCTTCAAGAACGACACTTCTTCGTTCAACGAGCGATTGGCAGTATCCTGAGTGTTAAGGTGCTCGTTCACTAACATCATGTCGAACGCTAACTTGGAGTCCATGTGGCTTATTGCATCCAGCACAGCTTGAGACAGGATGGAGTGCGTCACCCCACCGGCAGTCTCACTTGGCGGACCATCGTCATTAACTGGAACCACACTCGTCACCAGATCCATCACTTCCTTACTAAAGAGACAATGCGAGAGCTCGAAATACGGCATGGATCTCTCATTCCTATTTTTAGAGTGTAGTAAGAGTCCCCTTATCGGACTTATCACGTAGGGATAGAGTAATTGTTTCAATATTTTCGATGATTTAAATCATCTACGCTGATGATTCAGTGAACAAGCAAGAGCACTAACCGTAATGCGGCTGTTCATGCCAAGGTGCGGTGTTCTTCAAGCGGCTGTCCCTTTGTGTTGAGGTAACGCTCATATCTTCTTTGGATTTCACAGAAACGAATACTTCGGTTCACGGGCCACCAGCAGCTCTGCCACTTGGAATTCGACCACGAACAGCAAACATGTCGGTGAAGAGAGGACTCGCCGTTTTCATCGTCTCAAGTGAATTCGTTAGTGCTCAGCTGAATGTCGCCGTGTATCTCGATGCAACGTACGCTATTGAGCAAGCACAAGGCCTAATTTGCGGTGGTGTTGGAGATCGGCCGACTGGAACAGCATGCCCGCTTAAGGGGGCTGTCGCTATTGCGGACTGTAACTCGACATTTCCGTCATACAACGGCACGGATTGTGTTGCTCCAGTGAATGCAGAGTGCGTCGTCGATGCAGATTCCAAGTGGAACTGTGTTTTTCCTGACAACAGAAGCAATGGAAACGATGCAGATGACGACTTGGTGAGTATACTGGCGATTTTTAGCGAGTCCTCGGAGGAGTCCCCGTGGGGAGATCTGCCGTGGAGAGCGCCTCCACCTTTAGATTCCTCCTTTAATGTTGGGGATAGATTTACAAGAAGCTCCGAGCTACAACTAGAGTAAACGCAAATGTATCATAGTCCATGTCCCCTGTTTTGGCAGTAACGCATCAAAGCACCGTATTTGTACCACTAACTGTACAATGGTTAGAACGGCCACGCCTTCTTCAGCTTCGTGTCGAAGGCGGCATCACTCACAGGCACCTTTGCAACACCAAAGTCTGTTGTGTTTAGTGCTGTCCTCGCTGCAGTCGTAAGTTGGTCCCACATAATAAGCTCTTGAAAATCGCCCACAGTATCCGTCGTCGTTAAATAAGGGTATCCCTTTTCAACATTAAGAACATGGGCAAGTCTGGGCGTCGTCCCATCAGTGATACCAGAGCTCGCAGGCGCGAAAGTTTTAAACTTCCAATCTGCCGTCGAGACTGAAAGTCCCAATATCGAGGGCGATGCCAACTCGGGGTTGTCTATCCACACTACTGCACTCGCCCAGTCGTGGCGTCTCGTAGCGTACTCGTTCCAGAAACCTTTAGGGAAGTACCAAGTGTACAAAATAGCGAACGTGCCGTTGTACCAGGTAGTGCGTCCGTAGACTTGCGAGCCTAATGGAGCATTGGTACAGCCACTGCTTCCTCTATATCCTTCTTGAAGGCCACTACTTGTCTCTCCAGCTGAATTTACAGCAGGAAAAGAGACGCATCCGTTAGTGATCGAAAGACGAGGCTTGAACTTGATTGCAGCCTTTTGGGCGGAAGTAGATGGAGACGGCTGAGCAATGGGAACAACCTTGTTGAAGTCAACGGAGCCTGCAATGGCGAGAGTGAAAACCATTGAAAGCATGGACAAGAGCTCCCAGAGTTTCATTGATGCTGGTGGAGTCTTGAGTACTTGATGAGAAATTTGAAAGTGGACTTGGAGACTTGGAGATGCAACTGTACTTTAATTTATCATTTTGACCTCGAATTGCTCCTGCATCTTACCACAGATGACTACAGAAGCGATCAAAATCGATAGTTTACGGCTTCAACGCTAACGCAGCAGTAACTGTGGGTTACTCTTTAATGGTCTGGTGGGACTTGGGGCGGCAACGACGACGAATATCGCGCGATACTCGGTCGTTGGAGAGAACGACGAATAGCGCGATGACAACAACTAGAAGCAGAATAGATGCAGACGAACTGGATGCACGCACCGAAGCACTGTCGGATAGGCGCTGTCGTAGTCGCCCAATGAGTTCATTTTGATGCGTACTCGCTTGACTGTCCGAGTCATAGAGTTTCCAGCCTCCGCCGACGATTTCCTCCACTTCTGTCGCGTTCGTATACGGTACCCAATGCAGTTGTTCACATGATTCAGCGTCTTTCTTACCTTGTTCGAAAGTCACGCCGGAAAACTCTAAATACTGTTTGAACGAGCGCACATTTCCGAATCCATACTTATCCAGTTCAATTGTACTAACTCGTCCCTCGAACGGCTGACCCACAAGCACCTTGAAGCGATTAATCCCCATTTCTTCCTCTTTGTCCTTAATTTTCTGGTCCATGGGAATTCCTTCGAACCTAGCAGGTACTGACGTGTAGTTATGGTAAACCACCGTACCGAGTCTACTGGGTGAGTACATGTCATACCCGTGCGTCCACAATCTGGACGCACGCAAAAATTCCTCTCCATCAAAAATCCACAACGTATGAGAGTCCACAGGCACCCGCTTCTCCGCGTGACATTTATTGTACGAGAAGCCAGCGCCCCAGAGCGCCTCCAGCTGCGGCATCTTCGAGCCGTGGATCATACTAGCACCCACCGTTCGCACCAAGCCATTGCCACCTCTCATTGTGGTGCACAAATGTGGCAGGTCTAGATTCTTGGTCGGTACGTTGTCTCCATTTTCCGCCACAAAATTGTGGATGTGGTGGATATACGTGGTCAGAACTGCCATCTCGTTGCCAATTTCCTTCCATTCCTTGAGCAGATTCTCGTCCCACCCATTGGTGAAGATGCTGTGGCCGTCCAACTGGAGACAAAACTCCTCGTCTTTTATCATCTGCTGTTGTTGGTGTCTCGCTAATGTCGGGCCTCTGGAATCGTATGCTGAGCGTTCATCTACTCGAATTTGGTCCTTGTAAGGGCATTCTCCCTGTTCGGGCCATGCTTGTTTAGCCACCTTGCAGAACTCGTCCAGACATTTTTGATCCGATGGGTACACTTGGTCAACCACCCCAAAGACGAGATTTTCAGGTTTTGTGGCTCGTTGAAAGCCCGTGAAGATCGTTTTGGCACACCGGTAGCCGTCCCGGAACACCGAGAGACCCACGAAGAGCTTGGGGTTGTCGGAGACGCGAGGAGGAGGAGGCCGCAGGTGGCTCCACGACGGATTGACCGGAAAATGCTGGACACTCGGGTCCAAATTGACAGAGCGATTGGTCTCGGTGATGCCCATAGTCGACTCGAAGCCGCTCTTGGCCGTGGCCAGCGGCAGTACCACGAGCAGCACAAGGAGCATTCGCATTCGTGTCGTATGTGTAACGATTTTGCTAATGGGCGATGCAACTTTAACTAACTTAGCCAATCATGTCACACCAAACCTGGAATTTTATCCAGAGTTGCAATTTTAAAATATTTGCACGCGTATTGCCAATTCCAGTCAAATTGGATACGAAGGATGAATGACATTCAACACAATGCTCGCACTCATACGAGCAACACCCCAAGAGCAGTAGCAGAACGTTTTTTTATCCAAATAATATTGTACTGTAATTCATATTCCTGCTCATACGAAGCTCAGTTTTGCAAGTCTGAGAATATATCACTTCGATCCGAGCGCGTGCTAATACAATTTACTTGAACCACTGAATAAACTTTGATGTCGTCGTTCAGAAGAATATCCTAACACTCAGTAAGCAAAAGAAGTGCGCAATAACCTATCAAATAGAGAATGCTCTCTAGCTTTTTGAAGCAGCCTTAAGTGCAGCGTTAGGATTGTCTTCGGCGAAAAACTTTTTCACTGCTTTCGACAGTGCCGTTCCGCCCTTTTGCTCAACAAAGTACATAGTGTAATCCACTAAGGTGCGATATACGGGGTCAGTCCTTGACAAGATCGAGAAATCAATCGGATACGGTATCCCAAACTGACTCTTGAGCTCGTTCGGGGTTATCTTGTCGCTCGTCCATCGCTGGTAAAGATGTGTCTGCACCCTAATAGCGAATTCCTTCAGATCTGGAATGTACTTGATCGATTGAAAGAGCGCAGCAAATCTAAACTCCATCATACCCAACCTTGCATTCACCATAAAATTGAGTGCGTCCAAGTCTGAAAAGGGTTTACTTCCCTGGTGAGCCCTGTAGAACTTGATATATCTGAGCCACTGAATGAACAACGGGTTATCGTCGAGAGTTTCGTCTCCGAGACGTAAGATGTTGAAAACTTGCTGAGGAGTTTCACGAGACCTCCACCACACCTCATTCATCAGTCTATGGCTTGACGCAGAACTCAAGATCATGTACGTCTGCATCTCGTCAGCGATGTTCTTCATGCCCGGAACTTGTCGAAGCGATTGAGACAGTGCCACCAGTTCTTCCTCCGTGCGCTTCGACTGCCTCAGCAGGCTAAATAATTCCCTTTCTGTGAACGCAGTCTCGCCTCGCTTAGCCCTATATTCTAGAACGTACCAAAGCCACCGGATGAACTCTGCGTTCCCGTCCAGCTTCCCTCCTGCTTTGACAACGCGCAATCCCTGGAAAATACTCGCCGGGTGTACGTTCTTCTTCGCGTTTAACTTGATAAATAGGTCCGTCAGCTTCGACGACCCTAAAATTCCAGCCTTCTCTTCATTAAAACTGGTGGTTTCCGATGCATCGTCAGACCTCAAAGCTCTTTTAAGGAAAACTGACTTCTTGTCTGCAACAAATATGCCAGAGTCAGCGATCAGAATTTGGTCTGCGTCTGACAAGCACGTCATAGCTCCAACAAGGACAATGGCTAACAACAAGAGAGCGCGCATGGCGCTCAACTTGCTGCTCATGTGAAAATTGCAAAATGATACGATTCAGCCGGTATTTCAGCAATACAGTTTTAAATGACGAAGCCGTACAAAACTCCATCTCATATTCTAAAGGATTATTCGATATGAGAGACGCACGCAATACAGAACGGAAATTAAAACAATTGAAAACCAAAACTTATGGGTGGGTGGATCTTCAATTATTTTCCCACGTAAACAATTTGCCTTATCTTGATGCTGGGAAGTTCACCGTGAACTTCGGGCCACCAAACTCCATGTTCACTCACGGTGTACCGGTAAACATTTCTTACGTCAACCGTGCCCGTATCTCTTATACAGTAGGGCTCCTATATCTGTTCAGTTGTGGTGGTTCGGGATATCGATATTCATCGCAACCTAATTTTTAGAATTATTCAGTGTCCACTTTGATCAATAGAGTGACTCAATTAGACGGAAACGTTTCAATTTACTCTCATAATTATTCATTAAACCCACACACCGATCGAGTTCATGCACACCCGCAGAATAAATTCCGAACCACGCACGACCAGAGGCCGCCACCTCCTGATCCAGGACTACCGGTGACACTTTTACTGAGATGCGTGGGATGACGGAACCGGTCTTTCGGTCTGCCAGATGACGATCTCCCACCACCACGACCACGTGAAGAAGGAGAAAAACGCTTTGACCGCTTCGGTTTGGGATAGCGTGGGTGTAGTCCTGGTGAGTCCGTAACATACGAAGTCGAGTCCGAATGTTCGCCTTGGTCTTCCTCCTCTTCTTCGTCCTCATCTTCCTCCTCTCCGCTCTCCACTTTCGAGTCCTGCTCGGTCCAATCTGCCGTTGCCGTGTCACCAAACGCTTCGCTCACTGTGACCGACGTCGAGAATGTATTGCGTTCCTCTGTAATCCTATTTGTCGACTTCTTAATGGCCCCACCGAAAGGCATCTCGTACCCTGGAGCAGCTGTTCCACCAGGTTTGTATTGTTCGTTAATACTGCGAAGTCCCAGCCATCGACAGACTTCATTACATCGATGACTTTCCAGAAACTTTTCCATGCCAAAAGTCCCAAGATTCCCCACTCCAAAGCCTCTTCCATCAGCTGAATGAATTTGTGGGTCTGTGTAGCTATCCGCGACTCCCTGGATGTCCACAATCATTAGCCGGAAGTCCGAAGCCACGAACGAAAAGTGAGAAAAGGCCTGTGGCGTGTTGCGTTCTCGCTCTTCGGTTGTGCTGGTTTCTCGACCCACATAGCCGCTGTTATTGCTATATTTCACATACGCGCCTGGTAGAAATTCCTCCACGGAGCACACGAGTGTTCCTCGTTCTCGATCTCTTAGCTTTAGCAGCCAAGATCTCGCATAACACACTTTTAATGGAGGTTCATGTTCGTTGTATAGTGCCGCATAATGAGCACACACAGCTTGCATCTCCACGTCACTGAGATACGTACTGGGCTCAGCAGGACGCAGACTTACTTTTGCCACTAATAACCTCGACGGACTGCCATCTGCACCAAGTTCCTACAAAAATAAAAAATAATAATCACCCAATCTAAAAAAATTACAAAAAAATATTCATCGGTACCTGTAGATAATAGGCATTTCTCAATTGCCCCGTAGCAAACGGCACCAGATCCAATTTCACCTTTACAGGGGTCGAATGCCACTCCAACGTGTCCACATCGAAGCTCAATTTATCAGCTCGTTCTCTTCTGATTCTTGAGAAATCTGGCGGCCCATGAGGTACGACGGTCTTAAGTAAGGGCTGAAGAGGTGGCGGAGGTGGATTCCCATTGGCTGAGCCTGGTCTCCTAGATCTAGGCGAGGGTTTCTTCCTTTCGGTGGATGTTCCTGTCATCTCGTTGATGATCTGAGTCTTGCGCTCCTGATACTCGTCGGCAGTCAAGTGGCCGCAATCTAAGAGCAACTTGAGCGTATTGAGCTTCTCAAAGGGGCTTTGGTGCGAAGGTACCGCCACAGCCACAGCCAACGGCGCGTTCCGGTCGCTATAGCGGGCGTCCATGTTGCTCGAAGGCGGCTTGGACACTCGTCGACGGCTGGTGTTCATCTAGAAGGGATGAAGATTAGCCGAGCGTTTTAAACACATAATTAGGGACATATTTTACCTGTTGGTGCTGCACGGAGGAAGCGAGTGTGGGCTCTCGCGTGGACTGCCCCGAGCGACTCATCCCTGGCGACGCTTTGACGTTATTTCTATAAATGAGATGGAAATATCAGGTTGGATGCGGAGATAAAGCGATATTTGAGATAAGTTGGCCAATGAACAGTGAGGTACTGTTTTTGAATCTGAAGATTTTGTTATGCTATTTTTGAACATGGTTGTTTCACGCTTCAATCACTCGAGGCGATGGTGGCGAGTCATGGGTTTGTTCATGAACCGTTTCGGTTGAATGAGTCAAACGGATCTGGGTAGGGTCGGTTAACCTTCCTTCATATGAAGACTAGTCGACGACTGTAGTGATCGCGTCGTCGCGTCAGTTTGAAGAAGTGTCCGACAAGAAAATTCATTACTAGTCTTCTTGGTGGAGAAGATGGACGTTAGAGTTTTCTCAAAAACAATTGTAAACATTCCGTTGTCGACGTTAGAGTTTTCTCAAATTTCTCAGTGTGACTACGGCACTAGTTGATGACGTTGTTGTCGCCGTTTTCCTTGATCATCTCCTTGTGCGTGTTGTGCGGGTACATTGTCAAGACGGCCATCTCGTTGTCAATAGAAGCCCAGTCAGCGAGGATGTTTTCGTCCTAGCGATTGGTAAAGAAGACACGTTCACCACCTTCTGATACAATAGATCACTATTGTCGAGACTCGTCCCAAAAGGCCTAAGTGGATTTTCATAATAAAAGAGTAAAAAAAATGAAAAAAAAATAGGGCTAAGGAAATGCCTTTGGCCTTGATGTCATACTGGATCCATTGTAGATACTGCTAGCTGTTCTACTCTTCGTCACCTTCGTCCTTCTCTCGAATAGCGCCAATCTCCACCATTTTGCGAGCGAGCTTCAAATTATTTCAAAGCAACAACAGATTAGGCAAGAAACGCAGGGTAAATTGACAAAAACCGTATCACTCACGGCAGCGGTGGGAAAGTTGTCGCTCGACGTTGCGTGGTGGTTGGCACGACTCCCGAAGTTTGCGAGTTCGGCTTCTTCGTCGTCCTCTGTGAGTCCATCGAACCCAATAACCCGCTCGGGGAACGCCACGCCGTCCTTGAAACACACGACTGTGGGCAACACTCGAATCACTAGCTTTTCGACAAAAAACGGGGCTTTCTCGGCGTTCAACTTGAGAAACTTGCACTCAATATGACTACGCGCTAGCTTTGACATATGCATGTCCATAATCTTGCAGCGCTCAAAGTCGCGATGATAGAAATGTACAGCCACCAACGGACTGCCAGTCACTTCCTTTAGAAACTCGTCCTGGGTGATCTCACGGTACTCGCCATGGCCTTTAGCCATCAGCGACTGCTTCTCCTCGAACTCGTGCTTCAACTGCTTCAATCTGGCGGCTCGTATCCTATCACAGAAAATGCTAAGCAACTAAACGCAACTTAAGAGTATAGACTAACAGTAGAGACCGTTCTAGCTCGGGATCTTCATCCAGTTCGGCCAGCATGGCCTCGTCGTCCGAGTCCAGCTCCTCTTCCGTTTGTTTCCCTTTAATATAAGAGCCATCCTCCTTTTGTTGCAGAGCCTTGGCTGCCAGCGCCTCTTCAACTCGACGCGCGCGTTGCTTCTCCTCCTTCTCCTGCTGCTCCTGCTGTTGCGCACGGATCTTCTCTTGTCGCTCGTTCTTCACCTTGAGCTCCTCCATCGCACCCTGCATCCGGTCCGAAGCTTCCACATGAGCTGCCGAGTCGAACAGCCCGGAGGTGTTGGCCATGGAGAACTTGGCCGCCATGGTTGGCTAAAATGGAAAAATGACGATGGCGAAGTGTAACCTCTGGTTACTCACTTATCATTGGTGGAAAATGAAAACCTACTTGAGATATGGCTACATGTACTGTGAAAAGACGCGAAACGGTGCAAGTGGATCCGCGAGCTAGCACTCGATCAAAATGCGGCGGCTACTGCTTATGACGATGGTTTCACTGCTTGTTGTGATGGTGCTGGGCTCAAATTCGTCTGGGAGCTTCGGTATAATGGAAAAAGACACTGGGAGCTCTAGAGCTACCGTTGGCGGCACAAACACGACGATATCTCAGCCTGCAGACGACTTCATCCCAAAATCGAACGGTGGACGTGGGAATGGCAGCGATGCAACCTCAAAGTCGGTGCCTGAAGCTCCAAGTGACGGCAATGGCGGTGGGTTGTCCGAAGTGGCAGTCGGAGTGATTGTTAGTGTGACGCTTGTGGCACTTGCACTGGGCGCGGCTATGGTCGTTTGCGCGTGGAGGGCATCGAGGCGCGAAGAAGAAGCCATGTTCATGGACCTCGGAGACGAGAGCAACTACACGTATGGGAGATTCGGAGACTATGCTGCTATGTAGAGCTGAAAAGGAGAAGTGCACAATAGACTTTAGCGGTTTATCTTTTCAAATTTTCGGTGTTGATATTGTGTTTGGAAAAGTAATTAAAAAAAATGCAGAAATGATAAATGAGTCTAGAAACTTGGGCATACTTACGTTTTCTAAGCCCATGATGCACTCAACTCATGTGCCAGACAATCAAACTGCAATCCATTCGAGCAGGTTATGAAGCATTCGAGACTCTGCAGAAAACTAGTAATAGCCGCTTGATTTTGTGGCAGCATCAAAACGAGTGGTAAAACATCAATAGCGTATCCTGCACAGACACTCAGATGCAGCACAGTCATCGTTGTCGCAGTCTTGGGTTTTACTGGAACGTGAGTGATCCAATTTGTGCAGAACCCCCGCAACTTGTATCCCTCAATTTCAGATTCACATTCTGCAAACCACTGGACAAGGCACCGACGAACTTGAGCACACAAAATAATCCCTGAATCTCGTGATAATCGACGGAATGGTGAACCTCCTGGAAAGGCTTCGTTGCGGAGCAGCATGAATGGTGAACCTCCTGGAAAGGCTTCGTTGCGGAGCAGCATGGCGCCGTGGGACAGCAGTAGCTGCATCTTGACTTTCCTATCGATGGACTGGTTGATCTTGTCACGAACACAGCGGGACTCTGTCGTCGTAGCAGCAGCAAACAACGGTGTGGCTCCCAAACAATCAGTACTATTGAGGAGGTCGCTGTATCCATCTCGAGATAATTGATTTCGAATGTGCAATAGAAGTTCTAGCTCTTTTACCGACGCCAGCCGAGCCGCAAAATGGAAACAGGATTCTCCTCGAACTGTGACTGTCTGGAAACTTTGGCCAGTCGGATCCAACTCATCCAGCTCTGTCATCATCTCAGTGTTACCCTGTGCGATAGCGCGATGCATTGCCGTCTCACCTGCCGCATTTTGGTAGTCCATAGCCACGTACTCATTCTCCACTAAGAATCGGACAATGTTGATAGAGTTCGCTTCTACGGCTTGAAGCAGGACTTCTCCAGCGAAATCCAGTCGTTCGCGGGTCGCTACGAGTGCGTGGTGGTTCAGGAAAATCTGCATCACGTTCACATATTCCTTTTCAATAACGAGCGACAACGGAGACACTCCAAGTCTGTCTTGAAGGTCGATCGATGCACCGTAGCTGACCAATAAATTTGTCACCAACAAGCTTCGCTCTTGTACTACGCAGTATAGCGGTGATCGACCATCCTATAGTTAACAAGAAAAAATCAATATTACCACATCTGGTCTAATAATTCACAAGAAAAAGGTCAAATTCACCTTATCTTGCGCATCGATGGTAGCTCCAGCATCCAGCAAGATTTTAGCTGCTTCGTAAAGCCCATCGCATATTGCGTAGTGCAAAGCTGATTTCCTTCCCTAAATACATGTACAACGAATAGAATTGAGTCAATGAGTTGAAATACCGTCTTCAGATGAATATCTACCTTGGTGCGAGCATCCAATAGAGCCCCGTGTTGGAGAAACAGGCCTAACACTGCATTCGTCGTTGCTGTTCTCTCTGAGTCTTCTTCTCGGCACTACACACCATTAACGTTAGAATGTGAATTGCCATGAGGCCGAACTATCAGCAACTTACATCTGTGACGAGGTTCCTCCGAACTGGGTTTCGTTCTTGAAAAATGCACCGAGTTTCTTGCAAAGCATGCCGCACGAACATTGACATGATTGGCGTTAAGGTCCACTCGTCCCGTGTATCAGCATCTTCTCCGTGCTCGAGCATTTGCCTCACCAGTGTGACATCACCATTCAGAGCAGCGCTGTGCAATGGCGGACTGCGTCTTCTGCCCAAGCTTGTAGTAGATGACGAAACAACTTCTGGGTGGCCAGTTCTCGCGTTGAGCATCTCCGTTTATTGTATTCTTCTAGTCACTTGGTCGTCGGGAAAATGAAAAGTGTTGCTCATTTTAATGCCATGAGTTTCGACAGATGGAGTCCCCAATGCATCTGGCCATCTCGCATCGAATCGCAGACAACACGTGAGTCAGTCTTACTGCGCTTGATTCGGTTGCTACATTCTCGTCGCATGTAAGCAGCTTTTGATGCGTGGGCAACCTTTGCTCACGCATCAAGTATTTCCGTCAAGTAAGCATGAGATGTTTTCTACCCAACGAAGTCAGATGAAGAGTCATGTTGGAGTCGGAAAGAAATACTGAGTCAAGTCAGTGCCAAAATAGAAGATCTTGCATACGACTATTATAAACTAAGCTTCTAACTTTGGATCTATAGAATAACGAACTTTGACAAAATTTAAAGATCGTAATACAAATTTAAATTACGACCAATAAATTCTGTTAAGTAAACTGAAAAATTTGGCCACGTTAACAACGCGTAACCGCTGAAACCCGAAATAATTTATATGTAACTATCTCGCGGTTTCAGCGGCTAAAAACAATCTACGCCATGCCTTGTCTTGCAAGGGTTCAACGGTGCAAAGCAAAACCGATCAAGCTGAAACTCGAGAACACTTGTATCAGTGCGTCCAGCGCAACCACTGCCTTTAATCGGATTCTGCATCGCCCCATTCCAAGCGAGAATGAAAACTCAGCGAAGTAGTATCATACCAGCTATGAGAATGCTTGGGCTTCAGAGTTGGACAAAGTATCCATGCAGTCTTTAAAAAGCACATTCTAAAAGATGAGAGTTCAAAATTAACCACGATCACTCGAGCTAAAGTCCCGGTAAGGTTCCAGTACGGTTTAAACATGAAATCAACAATGAATCGCCCCATAGGATAAGCTTAGTGTAATACCAAACAAGGGTGTTGTCTGTCAGCTGTTCGCTTCTATTATGCTGCTCGAATCAATATTCTGTCGTCCAGCGTTCTGAATAAATAATATGGAGAATATATTACAATACAACTATTTCCGTAAATAACTTATTAGCAAAAGATATCACCACAAATTCAATAACGTATTTCCCTACTCTGTTTGAACAACTGAATACACACAAGATTGGTTTGCTCTTTCTTGCTGCCTATTCCACGTTCTGTCTTGCTATCTCGTCGACCTGTTTACCTTCTTTGCTGTCAGGGAGGACTGTTATGAGTCGAAGAGGAGGATGCAAAGTCGGATCAACGCTGAACTTTACTATTGTGGTTAGAATTTTGAATTATTCATTTCTCTTTGATGATAATACCCATACCATTATTTATTCGTCGTTGCCTTCCAAATAGCATTGCAGTTGCATTAACGTAACCCCTGCAGCGGGTGAGCTGTGGCTGTGCAATTGGCTCGAAAGAACTGGAACCATTGTGATCTACGACATCCAGAACCAAGCGATCAGCACCATGTGCGCGGCCCACTGGGAACTACGCCTACGGCGACAAGCGCAACCCGGAAGACTTTGTCCGTCGGCGCATATTGGCCGAGTACGGCAATCACCGCAACCGTTTCGTGTTTTGTAAGCAAGCCAAGATCCTGGAGAACTACCGACCTCGGTCAATCTCAAGCCCATTGTTCCGGACGATGAAGCTCTGTAGATTGATACTAGTACTAAACTAAACGCAGTGCGCTGGTGTTGCTTGCAGTTGGAAGTGTCACGCGAAAAATAACTCTATGGTAATACCATTGGTATCGGGTTTATCACAGAGCTACCGAGGCCATGCACAGTCAGACACCTTGTGTAAAGGATACCGGATGGACATCAAAATGATGAGTGCGCTGAGGAGCTCAGCATATTTTTCACAGCGCCGGGGTGCAGTATGCAGGAATTGTAATCCATGCTTTACTATTATACATGTAGTACAAGTAAAAGGAAAGGAGGTTTTGAACATGGTCATTTGCGGCGCCCAGCAAAACTAGTTGAACCAGGCTGAGCTTAGAATGGTGTCACACTGTTGTGCGACCTGTGAGTCACAGGCTGTCATAAAGTTGAACAGCGACGTAAGATGAACAATGCTACAGGCGTCGACTTCTTTAGCGGCATCACTATGTGTACATTAGGTCCCGTTTAAAAATGTTTTGATAACGTCTTCTCCACAATTGTATTGTACATTCTGATTTCAAAGACCACTTGCCAGAGAACAGCAAACGTCAACTCACTTGTTTTCAAGGAAAACTCGCCCAATTAATCCTTTCGCGACTACAGCAACTATAATGGCAACTATAATGGACAGAATTAAAACTTCACCACCGTCCATCGACGATTACATGGCATGTATTGTACAGGTAGACGTATTCCCGTCCGCAATCACTGTGTTGCGTGCATTAAATGCAAATGCTGGAGTTCGATCTTGTTCAGGACAAGACACGGTTTTCATTTTCCGCTTGCAGTTTGCAGACCTCTTCCTTCACTTCACGAAAGCCTGCGCTTGAATAAGCTGTCGCAAATCAAACGTGCTCTTCCGGCAGCTTCTGGGCGCAGCTGTCGGCAGAAAAGGAACTCGACGGCGAAGATTCAAGCCACGAAGCGGAGCTGATCAGTAGAGAAGGAGCGTTGGGGTGCGAGCTGCTGCAACTTGGAGGCCGACGTCTCGTCAAGCCTCTTCCTCTCGCTTTCCAGCAGCGATCCGACACGCAATGCATTGCGTCTGCGGGCAACAAAGAGCTCTCGCTCAAAGAAACCGAGACATTCGCATCGATGCCCATATGCCGCTGCCTAATGAGTGTGTCACCGGTTCGCGCACCATTTGCTCTGTGATGAACGAGCAGTGAGGGTGAAGCACACCGCCTGTCGCCTCTAAAGATGTTTGAAAGGCGAGCTCTTGGCTGCGGACTCCACAGTTTGGAGAGCCGATTCCCCCGATTACGTCCGCCATCCGCCGGGACATCCACGTCCACGCCCCGAGGTACTTTGTGCATGAAAAGAGGCCAGGGTTCCTCTTCGACATGATCCTTTCATATCGTGGGCCACGTGTCGACGGCTCTCACTTTTCATCTTGCCGTCTCGGAAGCACCTCCAAGTCTCAAAGAAGTCTTCAATCAAGCACAATGCCGCTCCAGGTCCCCGGATACCACACCAACACCCCGCTGCACCCGTCGTTCGACGAGGACATCCGTGACCTCCACCTGCTGTACGACTACGACGCCGAGGGCGCCGATGGCAAGCCTGAGAAGTGGCGCTACGAGATGTGGTTCTTCTCGGAGAACCGTATCGTGTACTCGATCCACGGCGGGCCCATGGCCGGCCGTCTTAACTACCAGACCGTCGCCTTCCAGTGCATCCGTCCGGGTGAGCTGTGGCAGTGCAACTGGCTCGAGGAGACCGGCACCATCGTGTCGCTCGTGTATGACATCAAGAACGCCAAGATCACCACCATGATCGGCTTCTCCAAGGGCCACTGGGAGCACCCCGAGGACGCGCACGGCGACAAGCGCAACCCGGAGGACTACGCTCGTTGGCGCAAGCTGGCCGAGCACGGCAACAACCGCGACCGTCTCATTCTGAGCGAGCAGGCCACCATCCTCGAGACCTTCAAGGGCGCCGGCAACCTCGTGCCGATCGCCCCTGACGCTGAGACTCTCTAACTTGTATCGTTAGAGACCTCTATCTCTGTTTAAAGAGTCTGCGCTGGTGATTAGAGCAGTTAACAGTAAATAAACCCACGATTTTGCGCGTAAGACGTTCCACATTCACAACGAGCTGTAGCAGTGGACGGGAGACCTGTGCTGACGTCATTGGGAGCCATATCTTCAAGGTGGTCATTATATCGTATTATTTTGCTACTCGTACGTGGCTGAATGGTACTTTGACTACCTGCTCCATCCTTGGGGCCGCTTCACACTTCACAGGCGGCTCTTGCTTCTTTTCATACTGCGATTTACACGTCGGCAACTGCTTCGTTCGCATCGTGTTGCCGAGCTCTTCGCTTCATCCTTGTACAACTCATCTTGCTTATTTCTTGGTTTTGGTTTCGATCTTCCAGGCTGCCACGAGCTCCAGCTGCAACTTTTGCAGCAATGCGTGCTTCGTGTCGACGGCCAGAGTCTTGAGCAGGTCGAGGAACCGCGTCATCGACTCGCGCTTGAACGGCAGTGCCAACAGCAGCGGCACGGCGTCCACCGCATAACCTGCGCACACAAACGCCGCCACTGTGGGACTCAACGGGACACGCTGCGCCTGTGCTTCCTTAGCATTCGGCTTAGCTCCTCCCGATTTCTTGTCATCTTGCTTCTTTGTATCTGTCTGAGGACGCTGTAGACACGCCAACCAGTTGATACAGAAGTCCGATAGCGTTGCATTCGAGGACGCGCTACACTCGACCATCCACAGAGCCAGCGAACGCCGCACAGCCGGGTGTATGGCCATCAGCTCGACACCTGCATTCTTGACCGCTCGGAACAGGCGCATATCCGCAGGGAACAGCGACGCATTCAGCTTCTCCAACTGCGCGACCTTCGCATGACGCTCTGCCGGCGACCCAGCAGTCGGCGCCGCCGTTGCGAGGTACAACGGCGTCAGACCGACCGCGTTGGCTACGTTAACCTCTTGTGCAGCCTTCTTCCCCAAAAGCGACAGCAACGACTGCAAGTCCGCAGCAGAACCGTAGCGTGCAGCGTAGTGAAGAACCGACTCGCTTTTGCCCTTCGTTCGGGCCTGGAGCAGAAGCTCCGCAGACTTGGACGCGCACAACATCTCCACAAGCTTCTTGCGCTGCTTCACGATGGCCAAGTGTAGCGCCGTCTCGCCGCGCGCATTAACAACATCGATACTCGTGTATTTACCTTCCAGTAAGAAGCGCACGACGTTGACCACTCCGAGCTCTGCGGCTTGCAACAACACAGCGCCGGAGAAATCCTGTCTGGCGAGCGTAGCGACCAGCGAGTGGTGGTTTAGTAGCAACTGCAGCGCTGTGATGTCCCCACGTTTAACTACGATCGTTAACGGGGTTTCACCGGTCTTATCCGGAAGATCAATCGGCGCGCCCCGGGAAACCAGCAAATTCGTCACCAGTACGCTCTGCTCAGGAGACGCTCGCAAACACGCGTGCAACGGGGACCTACCAGTTGAGTCCTGCGCGTCCATGCGTGCTCCATTCTCCAATAAAAGTTTGGCGACCTCGAACAGCTCGTCATTCGTGGCGAGAAGTAACGCCGTCTTCCCGTCCTGGTCACGCGCTTCCGTCTTCGCTCCGTGGCGCAGCAACAGCTTCACAACACTCAACGTGTGATTGAGTCGCGCGGCGTCCTCCTTACGGCACTGTAAAGCATAAACACCTCGTCAGTCTCAGCCAAGCATTAACAGAATAACGCGTCACTTACGTCCACGACCGTGTTGAGCTGGACGACCGCCGTTCCTTGGAAAACAGCACGCAACGCTTGCACATTGTGCCGCATGAGCGTCGCCATCAACGCCGTGACGCCGCGACGGCCGCGCTCGTCCACTTGCTGGCCTTCTTTGAGCAAAAACTCGAGGACATCGTGATTACCGTCCCAAGCAGCAGCATGCAGCGCCGACGCCCCCACCGTCGAGAGATGGAACTTGTCCCAGTCACAGAAGGACGTAGCTTCATCGCTGTCGTCGACGTTCTTGGGACTGGACTTGGACGCAACAACCTGTCATGGCCACCGACACACAGAGGAACACCACACGATGTGCGTCAGCGACACCCGCAGACGCGGCAGCAGGCAAATCGGACGAGGCGAGCGGACAAGAGTAGTACTTGATCCGCGCACCACGTCGGAACGGGAGAATGGCTACGTACGCGATCCAGCGCGAGCCACTTGGGATGCGTCTTGCGGAGACTTTGCATGGTCTTGGTATCACCTCGTCGGCCAGCGTCGAGCCACGCCCGCTCTACCTGCTCGCAGGTGAGCGCGCCTGGCTTGTTCGCCGCCATGACCGACCCTTGTTTTCTTCACAGTCCGCGTTCAATTCCACGGGCAGGTCGGCGGTTGGTCGGCGTGTTCGGGAATGATACGCTGCCGGACGGACCCGATCTTATTCGGCGGCGCGCCGGGCTTGCAGGCGCCTAACCTGTTGGCTGCGACGTACTGCAACAGGCTCGCAGCCGAGTCGCTCGTGGCTCAGCGCATCCTTCTGGAAAAAAAGCGACTCGAGACTTGAGTCCATCCGTGACGCAGGCAGGACGTTGGAGAACGCGAAGACGGACAGAACTCGCCGTGGCTGGCTGGTAGCCGAGGAATCAAGCCTTGAGTGTGGCTCAGAAAAGGTGAGGAAGCGCCTCAGCCAGCATATGCGTGGCGGGATAGTCTTTCGCGTCCCTATCGGATTTTTGATTTTTTTTTCATTTTCTTGTTTGGGACACCGGCGCCGCAAACGTTGTGTACGAGCTGCTTGAATGCTGCTCAGCTTTTACGTCTGCCCCAGCCATCACTTGCCTCGTTTCTGAGACTCACCACTGATTTACATCCAAGATCCAACGCTGTCTCTTGTGCAGTGAAGACTCTTGCCAAAACTTGCCTTCTGCTTCGAACTGTGTTTCGAAATCGCTGCTCATATTAGTTGGTTAACAGACAAAAGAAGAAGAAAATCTCACATGACGAACAGCGGTATCAGTACAGTACCACTGCAACGTAGCGTGCATGTACTGTGCTGTTTGTTTCGGCACAGATGTGAGCCGCTTGGCCGGTGCTAACGCGTACCGAAAGCTTGAAAAGCTGCACACCAACAAGTGGCTACATCCAGAGCTTGTGATGAGTCAGGCCCACAGATCCTGAGTTCTGCTCTTGGAGCAGGCGACAAGAATCAGCGACAGGAAGAAGAAGACTGCGTTGAAGCATGCAGCGCAATGTAGCGATGTCGCTGCACTCTATGGATTAAAAAATTAGCGGCCAGCCCCAATCAAGCGATTCACTTGATACTGTGCGCTAAGGGTGGACCTCGCTGCTCAACGAAAAAAAAAAGCAGGAGAATGCCAGGATGTGATAGCGAATTCGGAGAGTTGTCCGCCACGCGCTACGCTGTTGACCTGATATCGAGCGAGGAATCTTCGTGCTTGGTGTTCGTTCACCTGACAAGCAACAAGGATGGTGCTGCTGTATCTACGCCCTGGTTCACACACACACACACACACACACACTGGTAATCCCCAACCAGTTTGTTTATGAGCTGTGCGTCATCGAGGCAAGTCGCCATTTGCGATGCATCTTAGATGTAACATGTTGAAGCGAGCTTTTTGATACAAATACTCACACAGAAAAACTGTTAATATATGACAATTTCAATAATTGCCATATTTCACAATACAATAATGTGTTTCTGGCTGCCACTTCATGCAATAATTTATTTTTGTCCTGTTCAATTATTTTGTCACTACATGTATTCCGAGCGGACGTTACTACACTATCAATCGGAGAAATTCCCATAGACTCCGCGCTAGGTTATATCGGTCACGCACGCTTGTTGTCATATTTCACTAATTTTTAGGAGTTGGAGCATGCTATTTAGATATGTTAGAGATCTTCTTGGTAAAGTAGGCAGAGTGTGCGTCGACAAAGTGACGCCGCGCCGGACCCCGACACAGTGACGATCGACCTTACCAGCGAGTGACGTTGGAGGCATCCGGCAGTTTGGGGCAGTTTGTGGCAGGTGCCAGGCGCGCGCAGCGGTCCTCGACTGGAGGCATCGACTGGAAGTTCGAAGGGGTGGAGAACGTGAAGCGCCAGTGGTGAAGAAGGTCGCTCGGAAGGGACGCCCCAGGCGGGTATGCGAAGGGTAAGAGCAGAAAGGAGGGCAGTGACGGAAAGTAGAAGACGACGGTCAGGAGACCGCAGAATTCGTCATTACGGTAGTGTAGGCTTCGTAGGAGAGCTCTGTACAGCCCACCAGAGCTCTCCTACAAACCAACTTTCAGCTGCAATCCAGCCGGGAACAGGCAGGGTTAAACAGGTAATCTTACGCGCGGGGTTCTGTGGTTCTGCAGGACCCGTCTCGCCCAATAAACACTGAGAAGAAAGACTTACAGAGTGGGTAGAAAGTGGCGATCAAACCACGGTGTGTGTTGCGGCGGTAGGCTGAGATGGCAGGTGGATTTGGAGGGCGGGGGGCAGTGGTTTGCTGCTGCGCACAATTACTCCTGCGATATCACGGACACTCACACCGGTTTCGTGGGACCCTTCGATTTTTCCGCGCTCACGATCTGTTAATCGCGGCTCTTCTTGATGGGCATTGGTTTCTCCTTCCTAGGTGGCATCTTGCCAAATGAGATCATGCGTCTGCCTTTTCAAAACCAACCAGCCAGGTGTCATTTCTGTGTTAAACGCCCACCATCCTGTTATACTTGGCTTTATGTGATATGTACTGGCCGGTCTATCCTATCGCAGTGGCTAAATGGTCTTGTTGTATACACATGATAAGTTCCAAAATGCTGCTACTTAACACAAGCCCCCTATTACTACTGATGTCGAACCCACGGGTGAGGGGGGGGGCGTCATGTTAGACACGCAGGCGTAAACTTGTATATAGACCAGGCAGGCACATCAGTGGCTGCACGGCGCCTGTATATGCGTGTCCAGCTATAGTAGCTATAGTAGTAGAGTAGCAGACTCGCATCCCGTCGACGACATGTAACGTGTAAGACGCATCCGGGGACAGCCGCTTGGAAGATCCGGGCAACGCATGGGCTACACGGCAAGGAGACGGCAGCCGAGCTCCATCACGAAGGGGTATTCACGTCAAAGCAGCGTCTGCCTCACCCCACTAGTCCATGGCAAATACGTTTCATCGCCACCACAGTAAACACACTATTCCAGACTGTCGAACGCCAGCTACAGAAGTACTAAATAGAAGATCGGTCGTAATTATCTAAGAACCATCTCGTTCACACTTCGTTGACAGTCAATGTCGTCGTTGTACTTGGAGACAAAATTCTATCATACGATGTTTGTTTTGTATTGACCCAATATTGTTTTCCTAGTCCGTACTGATTGTAATCAGCTGGGGGGAGGGGGTCGGAATATCAGCGGCGCTAAGGTATAATCATGTAGCAATTCGATTGCAGTAGCTATTGTCAGCAAATACACCATTTCCCGCCCATGTTGCAAAGTTTAACAACCAAGGTGCAAATTGTGAAAAACGAGTACACTTCAATTGGACAAAAATTGTGCATTTTTCATGTTTTGCAAATGGGGTGGGTACACTTTTCAAGCAAGCTGCAAAAAAGAAATTATTTGTCAAGCTCCATGTCAAAGCCGTTCTCCGCGTCAAAGCAATGACGCAGGCAATGTCTCTCGTAGCGCCAGACAAGTCGGTGCGTAATGACGCCTTTGCTCATTGCCACTGCTTCCTTCATTAGCGCCAGCCGTTGCTCCGTGAAGGTGGCGTATTCGCCGCTAACCTGAAACTCTTGCTTCTGCTCAGCCATGAACCGCCGCATTTTGCGTTCAACGAGTTCCAACACCCCCTCGATCGGGTTTAGCATAGGACTGTACGGTCCCAAGCGCAGAACAACAAACTTGTTCAGGCCCAAGATGCCGTCTGCAGTCAAGTCCTGGCGCGCTAGGTTCTCGACATTGCTTTGCGCGGGAGCGTTGTCAGTGACAACGACAACTTTGTTCGGTTGGAGCTCCTCGTACTCCTCAGATCGCAGTGCCGCAAGGTACAGGTTCGCCACGAACCGCGCGCTCTCTTGTTTCTTCACAGAGCCCTCATGCGATTTCAGCAGGACAAGACCTAAACCACTGGAAACGCCACCCTGGATATGAAGGTTCTGGCCTTTGGAAGGGGGAAAATGGACAACGGCACGTTCTCCAATCCGAGACCAACCTTCATTTCTAATGAGGTACAAATTAAAGTTAGTTTCATCTTGAAAAACCACCATGTTACCTTTCTTGATGTGCTTGTTTAGCTCGTCCACAAATGTCTTCCGCTTCTCCTTGTTGGTGTTTGAGTTCATGGTGTCCTTTTCGATGCAAAGCTGTTTTGTTGAGTACAGCATACCTTGGAGCGCGCGATGCACGGACGTTTTGCTGACGACCACACCGATATCGCTGTGCAGATAATCGCATAGCTGACCCAGCGTCATACAGGAGTCCTCGTCGATGAGCTCTTCAAGCTTGCTCATAACCTTAATAGAGGTTGCTCTTACTCCGCCGTGCTGCTTGGGTTCCTGTCTGGTGGCTATGACAGCCCACCGTGCAGTAAAGTAATTGACATCGTTGGATTCGACCACATCTCGCCAGTTCTTTCCTTCTTGAAATGCCCGGACAACGCGAGCCTTGGCTTGGGCTCGCTCGAAGGCGACGATCTTTTTGCTGGGCTGTGGTGCGGACGGCATCTGCGAGAGTGAGCGCCAAGAGGACTACGAGGGTTGGTTAACGCGGAACGCGGTGGTAGACCTTGCCAAAATGAGTGGAGGTGAGGGGGGGTGCATCTTGTTTGAAAAGTGTAGCCATACGTTTTGCAAAACATGAAAAATGCACTTTTGTGATCGTACTCAAAAGATCATTTTCACAATTACACCTTGGTTGTTAAACTTTGTAACTTGGGCAGGAAATGGTGTATATGCATCATAGTCAATTCAGAAAAGCTCTCCCTACATTCCCCGATATTATGCATAGAGAGCGGACGCAGCCTTGTCGGTTACGCTGAAAGTCGTACCGGTTCGCATCAGTATTTGGAGATTTTTTATCTATAATTGTGTTACAACACGTGTAAAATGCTTTGCAAATTTCGCTTTTATCCACAAAGTAAGCATCTGAATGAAATGCTCATATGCCGCACGTTAGTCTTGATGCAAAAAGAATGGTTTTATATGTCGTTATCAACGCCTGACATTATGCTGTCGAATACATAGGAATAGTGTTTATATCTCTCGTATAATAACTGCATATGGTTAACTTTGCCGTTCCGAATCACTTGAAAGCTTGTTAGATTCTTGTTAGGGGCGTCGTACGCGCTAGAGGTAAGTACTGCTCAAATCACTGAACGACTAGCACACCGCAGCTGTGCCCATCTTGTTGACGCCAGCCGTAAAACGTTCTAGTTTCCATCTTCATTTCCGGATTCATCATTTTCATGTAAACTTGAGTGACAATGCTCTCCAACTCATCGAGAAAAGACTCTCTATGGAACGGGTCGTATTTTCAATTGATTCGGCGCTCCATGCCAAAATGATGCCACATCAGTGAGGCAAGCTCACGTCAATGTAGGTAGGGCAACATACTATGCGATTTGTGTGAACCTTCGTGAAGACATGGTCTTTGGTGTCGAGGTATTTGTTCCTTTTTTTCTTTTGCATATATATCGAATCCACAACAGCGACTACCGTAGGCTGTCGCCAATGTTGCATCATTGTCTCACTAGTAACACGGAGAGAGGCCACGTAGACGCAAGAATCATTCAGCCTCTGCTCTTCGGTGTACCCTGCTAGCTCCGTAAACGTAATGCCGTGACTAGCTGCTTTAAAAGCATCATCAACATCCATGGAACGGATCTTGTTGACTATCTATCGACGGCATTTTTGTTCTTGATCGCAGGCCAAGGCAACTCTCTCCACAAACTTTATAAGCTTCCTCGCTTTTGAGATCTTGTCTACACATCGTGCCAGTTTTCATTCTCTCTATGTCGACAAGAGAGAATGTCCCTGCACTCACTATCGAGATAACGATTTATCGGAATCAACTTTGTATCATTGACAAGCTCCTCGCGGATCTCCACGTTCTTGACTGCCTCTATACATTTCAGAACACAAGGTGTTCTATTGAAGATGTTAGTATGCAGAAAATAGTTGTTATTAGTGAGCATAAATATAGTTCACCAATCATCACCAACAAGGATTTATGAATTTTAAGTACATACCTGGGAGCACGAGGCGGACGTTTGTTGCTACGGCTCACGTAGGATCGCCTTTTATCACGAATGTTTTTGGTCGCTTGTACACAGCTCCATCGAACATACGACGAAATTCCATCCAGCGCACCTCCAACCACTTCAACCGATAGAGAATTTGTCAACAGGATTTCGTCAAATTCTTCCAGTTTAACATTACCAACATTCACAGCGGTGTCCACAAACGCCAGCGTGTCCTCAATCTCTTTTTTTCTCTTGGCTTTTTGAAGCTTTCTTTGTTTCGGTCTGCCTGACGGCCGACTAGCTTGATTCAATTTAATTGCACGCTTGACTCCGCTTTCCATATATTCCTGTTGTCCAAGTTCGTGAACATTACAGTCCAAATCCAGCTTTCGCTTAGTCGAATGTGTTGACGTTTTTTTTTTACGGAGTTCTTATTTGCAACCCCTTGACTTTCTGCTTATCTGTCACCGCCTTGCGTACTACGTCGCTTAGTTGCACAGAACTACTGCTTGCGCCGTTAGTGTGATCCGGTCACTATCCTTGTTGGTGTTGGTTATTGTATTACCACCACCACAGTTAGTGATGGTGATCGTATCGTCGCTCGTGCTTGTGTTGGTGATCTTGTTACCGACATTACCAACATCACAGATATCGCATGTACTGTAATCTTCCTGATCGGCTTGCTTAGAGACTGCACATATTGCTGTCTGTACTGGTGGGCCGTCATCATCGCGGACCTTCGCTCTAATTTGCTCCAAATAATCACACCAACTCGTAAAGTTTCAATGTCTTTGTCTGCAACCCCCTCCGCGATCCGCTGGCAATTCCGCAAAGACAGCCCGGTACTTCTCGTTCTGGGATAAAAACATGTTTCACTTTATCGTGTTTTACATCTTCCACGACGTAGACGTGAGTGCCTTTGGAGTGTCATCTCCGCCACTAGCTTCTTTGTCGTCCTCTCTGCAATCATCAACAAGTGACCACCTTGTTGGGATGGCGTCGAATGGAATAGCGGACGGATAACTAGACGCCTCACGTCTCAAGAACATAATATGCCGACACGGGAGCAGGAGTGTTTGGTTGAACATGCAATTGCATGTATTAGACTCCAAGCTTACCTGACATTCAAGAACACACATAGAATTCTCAGTTAGAAATTAACTCCAATATTCTCCAAATCAGGTAAGCTTACCGCGAATTGATTTAGCGATGTAGAACTTGTCAACGTGAATATCGTTGGCGAAGTTTTTTTCTGATTCGATAGTGTAGTCAGCTTGCTTGCTTGCCGTATACTGACCTCCCACCAGATCGCATGCATGATGCGTAGCGATCCTCGCCAACATTTGGAGTTCCTCGTCGTAATTATTGTTGTACCTAAAACCAACGCGCCTCGCCTTCACTCGGTACTTGTCCTCAGCAATCTGTTCTAGGAAAAGCAGGTGGTCGTTGCATTCGTCCATGGGCATGTGGCGATCGAGAATATCTTTTGCTGCCCCCCAACTAGCCTCTAATCGGTTGTTCGTATTTGTCCAAGTGAGGTATGTTCCCACGCATGAATGTACACCACATGTCCTTGCAGCTTAACCAATTGGACTCTAGGTACTCGTAGAATTGAGGTTTGTCTTTTGACAGAGTTTGAAGAGTTTGCAAATATCGGCCGAACTTTCGTTCATCAGTGGCTCGCATCATCAACGTGATCAAATTCTTTGCCTGCGTCTTTTCAAACGACGTAAAACCATAAATCTTCTTGCTAATCTCGCGCTTGAGGTAGTCTATCACGTGGAAATGACAAAGAATTACCCTGGCCTCCGGCAATGCTTCAGATAACACTTCAATCTCGCTGAAGTCCTTATCCATGACCATCACTTCGATGTCTGACCAAGCCGGATTATTCTGTTTAAATGAGGTTGGTCTCAGCGTCGATTAAGGCGTGCTGAGCGAAAGAGCCACTCCCAAACTTATCAGTCACCATAAAACTGAACAAGCGATATCTTCAAGTACGCAAAGATAGATAAGAATTGCCTAAAATGCAGCAAATACATGTAGGTTTGTGAAGATTTCACTAACATGTTGGTGAACATGCCACAACTCCAGTCACTAGAGCAGGTCAATGAACTCTCCATACCTGTTAATCTTGGTACCGTGTGTGGTGTCAACACGGAGAGCCTCAGGGAACTTCCGAGTCATGAATTTCATGTGAGCTGTTTGGAAGGTAATGAACCTTGTCAACTCCGTGGCTCGGTCACAAAATATATGAAGTGTAGATTTCGTGTCGCATTTCAGCGATCAGATTCTCCACGTCCTTTGGCTGGATCGATTTTTCAGACACCTCTTTCAAATAACGGAGGATTTTTCCCGTGCCATTTAGAATGCACCCAACAACACAATTTGAGTAATATCGTACAGCAAAATCATTTGACTGCATAGCTGCAATGACGTATCTAGCCACATTGTTTTAGCTACCCTCTTCATGCCCCGTACGGTATTCATTGGGACCCACGCTGTGGTTGTGAATTGGTGTGTGCTTTGCAACACTGACATTGTATGAACCATCATCGGATCGTTTAGCCGCGCCATGCAACCAATAGATCGACACGTGTGGTTTGTTCGGCTTCCGCCCCCGTGAGGATTGAACTCTCAACCATGAGTACAGATAAAAGTCTTCGTGTAAAACTGCAACTCCTCGTCGAACAACACAGACTTAGTTCCATGCAGTGCTGTTCGTTTGATGCGGTCCCAGTTTCTCACGCGAACTGAGGTGCTCATCCTTAGCTTGTATATTTAGTGAGTTTCTTCTTGGTATCTTTAATATTCAGTCACAAGTAATAAAAGTCAGTGGAAACCTAATAAGACACAAATAAATTCCTGCAGTATTAAAGTGCACCGAACCGTTGAAAGGCATCTTCTAGAGCAGCCTATGACGCGAATGTGCCAGAGAAATCAGTGCAAGTAACACTGAAGGTAGTACCAGAGGCTATCGGTACCTCTCCCAACTTTCCAGAAGCTGGGTCACGGCGGGATCTTGTTCAGCCGTCTAATTGTACACCAGAAACCGTGTCTGAGGCCGAATCAGAGTCAGCGTGTCGTCCTGGAGAGCGGCATGAAGACGTAGAGGCCATGGCGGGACACAAGTGTCGACGAATCGGGAGGTGTACAGCGTGCACGGACCCGGATGGCGGGCTGAGCGCGGAAGGGAGGGGAATGCCGGAGCGGGAATGAGCGTCCGCAAGACGTTCGCAATTTTTGATTTTTTTTCTTAAAACAGAAGTGTTGCTTTTACTGGGGTTTACCGGTATGGAATTTGCTTTTTTTTATGCATAGAATTTCGGTGAACGTTGGCACTTCCATTCAGAAAAGTATCTATCTGTGTGGCTCAAATTGAGTAACATACTTAAAAAGGAAGGTAAGGAAGCACAAAGGACAAGTCAATGAGGTGAGGAAGGGCTTTGGCGAGGTTTAAAAAAAACAAAAGTGAGTTTGGGATTGAGTTCGGTATTCAAAGCTCAAGCGCAAACTGGACTTACAACCAATCTGGTCTCATTCGATTAGACGTGGCGGCACCCAACACGCAAACGCTGATCCTCTTTTAAGTGCCCAGTGGATATTTGATAGGGGGTCGTGGAATATGACAGGCACCAACAAAGCGTTTGCATACGTGTGGCGCCAGACGTAGAAACCGCGAGTAAGAAAAAAAATCTGCGGTTCGAAGGCTGTTTCCAAGTCTCCTGCTGTGTTTTTGGTACGAGTGGTATGCTAAAACACCACGGCTTTGGGATGAGAGCTCAAACCACCAAGATAAATTCACACCACCAACTATATGAAGTTATTCTTGGCCAACGGGTTTGAGCTCGGTCCGTCATCGACTTCTTATTGTGACCAAGTGATGCTGGCTGACAAGGAGGCCGAACACAGCTTGTGCTTCTGCAGTACGCACAAGATAAAAGATAGAAAGGCTCATCTGTATTGAATCAACTCCGAAAACCTCGACGCGAAGGCAAGTTGAATCACCTCGTAAGTGTCTACGTTGCTTGTGTCAACATCGGCAGTATCCAGGACCCCGCTCCCGATCGTGTGAAGGATTTCTTTGCTCGAGTCTAGATTTGCTTAGTCCACAGCTACATGTTGTTCGAAGTCGCTCTAGTCTTCTTTACATAGGATTCAATGTAAGTCGACCAAACATACAATGAATCCACTAAATTATAGTTTTCTTGACAGGATTCAGAATAATACGACCAAAATTCAAAATTACCCGACCAATATTCTGCTTAACTCGACCAAGCTCTACATTAACCCGACCAATCGACTTATTTTACATCAAGTTTTATTTTAACTCAACAATGGTTTAAGTCATTCACCGCAGAATAACATGGTTTATTCCAAAATATCATCTCAATCTAAAAATGATACGCAAAGTAAGCGCTGATGATGATTGGCTACAACGCGATTCTTCCTTAAGAAATTTCCTCCCCCCGCCCGCCTCTTCAGTCGGAATGTCCAAGTGGAAGCCAGAACAGGTCCCTATTGCCGAGAAGATAAACAAGCTGGGAATCTGGCGGGCCCACCCCGAGTGAAGTGTTAAAGATGCAGTTAGGGAGCTGAAGGTGAAGAAGGGCACGCTCCTCAGCTGGAGCAAAATGTATTCCAAGCCTCAGCTGAGGCACATCCGTGTCCCCAAAAATATGGGAATCCGCATTCGAGAAATAGGTGGTGGGTGAAAGCACAAGCTTTCCTTGCCTTACGAATTGCAAGTGTTGGAGTACTTCGACAACTGCATAAGCAATGGAGAGGTGCTGATCCATGCAGCGGTTCTAGTTTATCGCCAACAGTTCCCAGAGTTTGCTATTAAAAAGGATAAAAGCCAGCAACTTCTGGGTCAGACAGTTCATCAAGCGATACAAGCAGCCAGCCTCTGGAGCAACACATCAGGAAAATAACTCAGCGAACAGTCGAAAGTGCGCACACCAAGATAACGAATTTCCAAAATTCCTATTTTCCGCGTCCAAAGAGAGCCCAGGAGTGGACGACCCTTCGGCCAGCGTCACCAGTACCAGTGACAAAAAGCGCACCAGGAAAATTTCGTCTCAATCTCCCCAAAATGATCACGATAATGATGCGGGTGGTCGCGACAACATTGCAAGTCGTAACTTGGGTAGAGAATAAGAACTGAGACAGTTCCTCTACATCCTGTTCAAAGTGATAACGGAGGCGATGGGAGTGGGTGTGACAGCATAGCTAGCGATAGCTCAGACGAAGCCAACGAGAGTGAAAGCGAGCGCGGTAGCATCACCAGCGAAATGCAATGAATTTTGAACTGGTTACTTTTGTATTTTTAACTGGACACTTGCATAATTACTATTTCAATCGGATACTTTTGCAGATTTAGTGGTTACATCTGGCTATAACTATAATATCAAAAAGTCCATTTGGTTAGTTTTACAATTGTAGGCTTGTATTTGTTGCGCGAGAAGCTTGATCCCACGTTGAGTGTTACCTGGTATTTGAGGCCCGTGTGCGGAGCACGCGGGCTTAAGTAAGGTGCGACTCCCAATGTAGCCCCGTTAAGCCGTTTGGTCCGTTGCCGAACCGATATCCAAACATATAACACAGTCTAGTTGGGGTTGTTTAAAAGGGGAAACAGTTGGAGAAAAGAACAATTCCTGGCGCTTTGATATTTTTAAGATGCAAACTGGTTTTGAAATTCTAGACCCCCTCCCCACTATAGCGAGAGAGATCATTTAGCGATAGCAAGTGGCTAATAAAACAAATAAAATCTCACTTCTATAACCATCACTCCTATTCCGCATCGGTCACATTCTGCATCAGTCTTTAAGTTTGCGATCGATTCCGCAGCAAACAGGCGCCACCACAAGCGCTCTCGCCTCGCGGCGACGGAGGAGGAAGAGAAGCACGAAAGAACCAAGCAGGCTGGACGTGGAGGAGGTCGTATTCTTAACAACATAGAGAACGCTTTCTCACTGCTATACGCCGTATATCCCGCAGAATCACTTGGAGATGAGGAAAGGCGCTTTGAACCAAAAGTCCAATGCTGTTCCTGCTGGGGCCTTCGGCTCCACAGCAACTGCAAATGTCAATTATACTACAGTAACAAGTGGCCAAGAACAACGGACGCATTAGCTAAGCCACGGTGATGTTGAGGTTGATGGTTCTGATACAACAGCGCTTGACCGTGCCCAAAGGCGGGAGAGTAGAGGCAAAACCAGTGTTGGTTGTGGCCGTACCGCGGGCACGAGGCCGGAGACGATGACGATGGACAGCTACAGATAAGGTCGAGGCGTGGAATTCCAAATCGCAGTTGGGCGCGGCTAAGGACTTTTACTTTGTTTTGACGACATTAATAATTTTGCAAGCATATGGAGCATACTCTTGTGATATCTGGACATTCCAAAACAAAGCATGGTGACACAAAAATAGCTGCAAAAGTCATCTGGAGTGCTCTGCACGATTACGTATCAAGCCATGTGGGCTTGAATTTCTCTGTGAAATGTCTGGTGATCATGTCGTCAGAAGCGAAGAAGTACCAGCCAGTAGAGGGATACATAAGCACTTTCGTCGCGATCTAGATCTAATGTTTGCGAGCGGCGAAACACCTCTAGGTGCGCTTGATCAGCTTCATCGTATGTACGATGAGGACGCCAAAGGAAAACGCTTCTTCCCGATATTGGTCAAGTCCGCAGTCTAAAAGCGAGCTGAAAATAGGAGCAAGTCAAGGAAAGATGGGGGGGAAATTAGAGTCACACGAGGAGCTCATGAAATGGGCTGTGTCAAAGTTGTGCAGAACGAGAGATCAATTTGAGTCGGCACAAGGACGGGAACTTCTTGCTCTCAACGTTTTTGAGTCAAAAAAAAAAGTGGTGAGACAAACGAGCGCTCGTTTTGATATCGAACTTAGCTGTAAAAAGCTTCTCTACAACTTCCTGACCGCTCCGGATAGTGGCGACCAGTATCACTGTGATGGGACATATCATTAATCGATGCAGGCTGGACTTTGACCAATATTGGTGTGGTTGGAGTAGTTTGCGACAAGAAACAACGACAGCACCGCCAGCGCTTTTTTCCGTGTGTTTTCGGTTTTGTCCGCATCGAGTGCGATCTGTCTTACCACGCACTATTCGAATCAGTTTAGCTTTGCGCTCGACACTTTTGCGGTTTCGAGCTGGACGCGGCTGTCGGATCGATCGACTGTGCCTCCTATTTGCTACAGCTCTGTCGAAAGTGTGGTCTTCTATAACGATTGTCACATGCTGGACGCACGTTTGTCGGAACTGTCTCTCCACTGACAAGTAGAATATGCTCTCAAATAAGGAAATTCTGGCAATTGTTAAGACGGATATTAACCTCATGCACAGGAGCACGTCGTACAAGTACTTCAACACGTTATCGACAGCGCTCGTACAGAGATGGCGAGTGCAAGGCGAACAGAGGTATGCAGATTGGTTCGACGTACCGCTAAAGCATTAAGGCACATGGGGCTATATCTTCGGGCTGCAATTGTCTACTTGTTGGAGATTCAATGGCTCAGATCATACAATTTAGCTGTGAGCATCGCCTTCCAGAAGAAATTCGCACTTTCGCCACTTCTCCTCTTCTACGCGGGCAAGTTGCAAAGGCACAAAAAAAATGTCGAAACTCGTTCAATTTTTAAATCGCCAGCGCCGTGCGTCAGCAGAACATTTACATCAGTCGACAGCGGTCATTGGACCAGCTAGTGACGGGAAAGCTTGCTAAAAGGTGTGCTGTTACGAGTTTAGCTGGTGGTTTAAAGCGCTAACGCTATTTTTGTAAAGCTACGATAAGGCTCAAGACCACTCGCTGTACCGGGTTCTCGTTAACAAACGAGTTAATTTCACCAAAAATGGAAGCATTGCCGGAGGTCCGGACAAGTGTGGTTGCGACGTTTCGCAGCAAGTACAGCTGCGAGTGCAAGGCGTACATCTCGTCAGGCTGGATATGCTCTCATGAGTTGGTGGCGGCAGCGATTAATCGCCATCTCAATCTTGCAGAGGTCCAAGCAGGAATCCCGCACCGTCGTCTGCCTGGTCGACCTCGCAAGGAACTAAACTCCCTGATTTGAGACAATGCGAATGCCTCAGAGCGTGAAAATGCAGTTTACGTCGGACCAAGAGGACGTCTACGACGACATTTGGCACAATATCCAACTGAAGCAGTTGAGTGCAAGGCACTTCATCACTTCTTAACATCTAGCTCAGAAGCTCCAGCCGAAACGCACGGTAGCTGCTACACTGGTTGTGTTACGTCTGGCCAGTTGGGAGCGGACCCGATTAAATGGACAATCAGCTTCTCCGACGGTCAGACTCATGACGTCATCCTCGATGAACTCATCGCCGACCTGACAATGGCTACAAGCCGCCATATTTAAGGTAAGTCGAATTTTATCGTCAGTATACTGAGCAGGTGGCAAACTAATGGTGTGAATGCTTTGTAATCCGGGGTGATTGGTAGGTGTGTGATTTGGGCCATCAAGACTCCGTACACATCGTTTCTTTTGTCTGGTTTCTCATCTACTTTGATCTTTTCTCTTTAGAATGCTTAATTCGGGTTATTTTGCCTTTTAACTCCTTTTTTTGTTGGCTATCCCAGCTCATGAATCGAAGTAGCCTGTACACGAAGCCAAGAGCCCAGAATTCGTTTTCAACAGGATGCTTTGCATGTTCAGCAGATCACTAATAACCAGGATAACCATGCAAAAGTGTCCAATCCAATTAGTTGAGTTCCCAGTGTCCAATTCAAAACACAAAAGTAACCGAGTCACAATCTCCACCCCCAGCAAAAAAAATCGGATTGGGATCATCGACCTCTGGTCTTTCGACGCCTGTGCCTCCACCACCTCGTGCTGGCACGGCACCGACGATTTACGCGCATGTTAATCGTGTGCTTGATCGCATCTGCCCTGCCGCTGGTGTGTCAGCTGCGCTAACGTCGCACTCCTTCCGCCGCGGTGAGGCACAGCATGCCAACGGCTGTGAGAAGATGACCGCGCGCTGGATCTTTGACCGCGGATCTTGGAACCTAAGCACCACAAACAAGGGATTCAACTACATATTCAACACGAGTAGAGAAGATCACATGATTGCCAAGGTATTGAGCGGATACAAACCGTCGGCCGCTGTTCATCTCCAAGACCTGTCCAGCTTCGACGCCGACACGCTTGACTCGATCGCCCGGTTCCAACGGGTACTGTTCGCAGCTTGCTACCAGCTTGAGACGGAGGCCTTCAACATCAACCGAAAGGTTCTGGACGTTCTTACCGCCTGTCTTGTTCGGCACTATCCTGTGTTAAAGGACTTGAATCCTAAAAGTCCCGCGGTGAATCGACTCGAAACCTGTGTTGCACACGCTGGGCGTACGCTTGCGGATCTCCTTGCCTGGTCAGCCCATCTTGCCAAAGCTCGGAACCCCTGTAAAGAAAGTGAAGAACCCGCCACACCACCACGCAAGCGCGAATCCAACTCAACAGAGCCAAGCCAAGAACAGAAGATCATCGAGCACCAAGCCGCTGTCATTAAACACCTTATCGAGAATTCCAAGCGCCAAGACGCCCGCATGGACATGCTAGAGGCAAAGATAAACGGAGATCCTATAGCTGCAACACACAAAAGGAACAGACAAGATGAAGACGCAGCAGATGTGAGCGAGCCCAAGAAGAAACAGCGCAGAGGATCTGCTACGCACCTTCATGCAACTTGGTTTACCTGGTATGCGCAAGAGCCACGCTGGTATGCCGGAGAACCAAAGCAGCAGCGGTCGAAAGCAAAGCTGCTGGTTGCGTTCATGAAGCTGTTTCTTAACCCCTTCAAACCGGATGATTTTGAGGGTGACGTGAAGCTGTATATACAGCGTATTATTATATAGACGTTTGTATACCTCAAGGGTTGGGCGAGATGGTGAATGATTAGGTGAGGGGTGTAGCCGCTGCTCGTGCGGAATATATACGCTGTATAAGCTGCACAATACGCTGTACATACAGCTTTGTCACGCTGTATACGCACCGCTTTTGCGCGGCCATGTACCGTTTCATTTTGCTACCTGCGTACAGAACCTGAACGTGCCGCTTTTGTATCTCATTTTTTTTTCAAAAATAGAAAGTATGGGTGATGCAGAAGATACCGATAAGATCAATACTAAAATCAAGTGCATAAGTTGAGGTACGGATGCAATCACGTGATGCGTCTTACAAGCAACCATACAAACCAGAAATCAATCGGAAAGGCAATGTTAGTATTCAATGAATTACAGGACGCAGCAAAAGCACAATCACATCAAAAAATTATTCGTCCGAAGGAGACCGGCGACGCTTGGCGGGCGACTGCCGTAGTCGTATCTTGCCCTGCAAGTTGTCAGGTATCTCAGTACCATTCTTGAACTTGTTATGCCATATGTCCCAGCAGCTACGTAGCTCTTCTTCCATCATGTGCTTTGGCTTCATGCACAAATACACAGGCAACGCGGTAAAGCATGCGTCGCAGTAGTAGGTCGTTGTCCCGCCACGTTTTCCGTCTGATCGCAGCAAAGAACACACTTTGCAGTTGCGCTGTACGCGTTTCAGCTGTCCTGAGTGCTTTCGCCACTCGTCACCTTGCTTCGGTGAATGGATAACATGCTCTGAGCTCCCTCCTTCGTCATTTGCGCTTGTGGCTAGAGCGTCATTCTCAGTTGAGACTGGTGGTGGTGGGTCTGTAGTAAGCATGCATATACAAGTTACATTGCCACGTATATACAGCACAAAAAAACACAAACTTACCAGCTCCAAACGTATTGCCTTCGTACATGTCTGAGTCCTTCAGGTGGATGAGCTCCAAGTGCAACTTGCGAATGTATTGGACGTGGGTCAAGGGGCGGGTTCCCTTTGCTTCATGGTACGCACGATGTACAATATATCCGTTGACTATTGCAAGATCCACCAACCCCAAAAACAGGGACTTGTAGTATTTCCGAAAGGTCACCGCCCGCTGTAGTGAGTAGCGTAGCAAGCGGAGTTGATCGTGCACATCAAATCCGCCCATATATTTGTGGTAGTCTTTGACTGCTTTTGGACAAGGCACTTCACGCTGGTCCCCGGTCTTCTCTCTCCTCACCACTCTGTCTAACGCAAGATCACTTCCAGTACATAGGAAGAAAACTGGTTTGCTGTCCCACCACTTGATAGCTGCCATTTACTTCACTTGTTTCGAACGTACGAACGTAAAAGTCCCTCGTACAATGTTCTTTGGTCGAGTCTTCCTGTTGTTCTTGTTCTCCTTTAGGCTCGTGGCGTAGCCAATGCGGTTCGTCATAATTGTCCCGACCGTGTAAAATCCCATCAGGAGCAATTGCAAGCACAACACTCGTGTAGTATCGGTCAGTGACCACGAGACGGAAGCCCTTATCTTGACCGTCAGGGAAGGCTGCTTTCAGGTTACGTACAACCGCCGCAGGTCCAGACTTCTTATCAACTGAAGATGCGTCGTCAATGTGTTGCTTC